CAAACATTTGCCATGTCATAGTCACACCACATACCCACACGGTTAAATATTGAACTTTCCGAAGGATACAGTCCATTTTGATCTTTTATTCTCTTATGCTGACGTTCAAGGCTTGCCATTCTCTCTGCATGTTCTGCCATTTTCTCTGCATGTTCTGCCATTCTCTCTGCATGTTCTGCCTCTCGCTTCCGCCGTCTCGCAGCATATTCTGCCTTTTTCTTTTCAAGCTCCTGATCTAGCTCCTGCTTTCTCTTAGCAATTTCTTCCTCTGCTTTCTGCCTTCTTTCAGCAGCTTCCTTGGCTCACTTCTGCTCCCTTTCAGCCATATCTCTGGCTACTAACAACCATGCCAGTTCTGGTTTAGAAGCCCTCTTTCTAAAGCCAATGCCTCTCTCCAAGCACAAATCCTTCAGAGAACTTTTGCCCAGACTCTCATATAGTCTTTGGCTCATCTCAGTACTGGTGCACAACACAAAATTCATTCTGCTCATGTGAAGATGCAGTACAAGTTCCCCTCAGCTGTGTACCAGGTTCGGGGCCATGCCACATGGCGGTGGGGGGGGGGGGTGACGGACCGGGCCGTGTCTGGGCACAGCTGAGGGCGTCCGCTCAGGGCGAATTACTCAACTTCGGGGCTCCTTATAGTCCCCAGACTGGTGACCTCTCCAAACAGGCCACAAACCAGTCCCACAGAGCGCTTCATCTGCCTGCCTGAAGCCTCACGAGCAAAACCCCTCCAACACCCCAGCAATATCCGTGCTTCAGATGGCTCCAGGCTTCATACTCAGGTGAGGGGTCTTAGAACCCAATCCCACCTACCCCGAACAAGTTCATAAGAACATAAGAACGGCCGTACTGGGTCAGACCAAAGGTTCATCTAGCCCAGTATCCTGTCTACCGACAGTGGCCAGCACCAGGTACCCCAGAGAGGGTGGACTGAAGACAATGATCAAGAGATTTGTCTCCTGCAATCCCTCTCCAGCCTCTGACAAACAGAGGCCAAGGACACCATTTTATCCCCTGGCTAATAGCCTTTTCTGGACCTAACCTCCATGAAATTATCTAGCTTCTCTTTAAACTCTATTATAGTCCTAGCCTTCACAGCCTCCTCTGGCAAGGAGTTCCACAGGTTGACTACACTCTGTGTGAAGAACTTTCTTTTATTAGTTTTAAACCTGCTCCCCATTAATTTCATTTGGTGTCCTCTAGTCCTTCTATTTAGGGAACTAATAAATAACTTTTCTTTATCGGCCCTCTCCACACCACTCATGATTTTATAGACCTCTATCATATCCCCCCTCAGTCTCCTCTTTTCTAAACTGAAAAGTCCCAGTCTCTTTAGCCTCTCCTCATATGGGACCCGTTCCAAACCCCTAATCATTTTAGTTGCCCTTTTCGGAACCCTTTCCAAGGCCAAAATATCTTTTTTGAGGTGAGGAGCCCACATCTGTACACAGTATTCAAGATGTGGGCGTACCATAGTTTTATACAGGGGCAGTAAGATATTCTGGGTCTTATTTCCTATCCCTTTCCTAATAATTCCTAGCATCCTATTTGCCTTTTTGACCGCTGCTGCACTCTGTGCGAGGATGGTACCGAGGCCTTGGTGATGGGTGAGAGTGGGGGTGAGGAGGATAGCTCCTCTGCATCATCCTCATTGATCGATAGGAGTGTAGGAGAAACGGGTTGGTGATACTACGGCTAGTGATGCAGAGTTGAGGGTGGAAGAAATGGTAAGGTCCCCATGATGAAGGTACCTCGGTGCCGGTGTGGATGATGCCATAAGTGATGATGCTAGAGATGGCACTGATGGTGTCTGCAAACCCGTCAGTACTGCTAACGGTTGCTGTGCAGCTATGGTTGTGACACCAGTGACTGGCTTGACAGTACCAAGGTCTGGTGCTGCTGAAGGTTGTGGTGCTGAGAGATGTATTCTTGGTTCAGCTGGCTCAGCCTTCTGTTTGTCTGGTGCCGTAGTGGGTGCCGAGCTTCTTGAAGTAGGCACGTCAAGGCTGTAGCCTCAGTGCAGGGCTTCTGCACACTGTTTTGTGGTACCACGCTGGGTGCCAGAGACACCTGGCACATCGTACACGCTGAGGCGCAGCACAGCCTCAACTCTCGGTGACAACTTCTTTGTAATGTACTGCTTAGGCGACTGCGATTTATGAGGTAGAGAGCAGGCATGCGTCTCGGGATATTTTTCCCTGATCAGATTTCTGCTTTTCAGGCCGTTGGGTGCCCAAGTCAGAGGCAAGATGCTGTGCCTTTTCAAGCATTTGCATTTAAGATGGAGTTCTTTATCCCTGCACGTATGTGCCTTCATCTTAGCACAGTGCTGACAGTCTTGCTGCACATGGCTCTCGCCTAGACATTTGACACACTTGGAGTGTCTGTCAGAGACGGGCATAGCATCATTATATGCAGTGCAACACTTAAATCCTGGTGATCCAGGCATTTCTGTCCTATGAGGGTAAAGGTCGGACCGACGAAGGAAAAAGAACTTGCGTAACAGGTTTTTTTCCAATTCCTCTCTCTCTCTCTCTTTATTTTTTTTTTAAAGAAGATGAATTTGGATAGGAAATGGGGGGAAATGAACTACTCATATACATAGATGTGTGCACAGGGTGTGCCGGGTGTGCCCAGGCACACCCTAATGTCTCGGGCCGGCTAGCTGCTGCTGGAGGAGGAGGAGGAGAGGGATTTGTGATGGAGCGCTGCAAACCCTCACTTTAAATTCCCGGCGACCATCTACGGGGCACTGTGGGGCAGAGAGTGCATGCCTGGCATGCTGAAACGCTGCGCAACAGGTAAGAGGAGAGACGCCCGGCTGTGGCGTGATGTCACAGCCTGGGACTTGCAAACCATGCGGCCCAGCTCCACAAGCAGCTGAGGTCCGACTACAAACGCTGGCCGCCCAAAGCCATTTTTGCGCTCCGGGCCCCGCAGCCCCGCCGCTTATGCACCCGTGGGAACCCCTGCCCAGCCTGGCAGCACCGCGTGGCCCCCCTGAGGCACTGCCCTCCCAGCCTGGCAGCACCTCCCCTCCGAGATGCCCCGGGGATGCCCCTGCCCAGCCTGACAGCACCGCTTGCCCTCCCCACCCCCAAGGCACCCCAGGGATGCCCCTGCCCGGCCCGGCAGCACCGCAGGGTGACCTGGCTAGGTCCCTCTTATCCCATGACAACTTACTTTACTTAAGAGCCTTTGGTGAGGGGCCTTGTCAAAGGCTTTCTGGAAATACTAATACACCATATCCACTGAATCCCCATTGTCCACATTTGTTGACCCCCTCAAAGAACTCTAGCAGATTAGTGAGGCAGGATTTCCCTTTACAGAAACCATGTTGACTTTTCCCCCAAAAATTACGTTCATCCATGTGTCTGACAATTTTTTCTTTACTATATTTACTAATTTCCATTCTTTACTTCCTGGACACACAACAGCAGATCTCAAGGTAGCCATCCTGCAGCAAAAAAACTTCAGGACCAGACTTCAAAGAGAAACTGCTGAGCTACAGTTCATCTTCAAGTTTGACACAATCTACTCTGGATTAAACAAAGACTGTAAATGGCTCACTAACTACAAAAGCAGCTTCTGCTCTCTTGGAATTCATACCTCCAGATCAGCTGCTAGAAGTGGGCCTCATCCTCCCTAATTGGATCCACCTCGTCATCTCCAGCCTGATCCTGGCCTGCATATTTATACCTGCCTCTGGAAATTTCTACTACATGCATCTGACGAAGTGGGACTTTGCCCACAAAAGCTTATGCTCCTACACTTCAGTTAGTCTATAAGGTGCCACAGGACTCCTCGCCGCTTCTTTACTATAGTTTCAACTAATTTGCCCAGTATAGACATTAGACTTACTGGACTGTAATTGCCAGGATCACCTCTAGAATCATTTAAAAATATTGGTGTCACATTAGCTATCTTCTAGTCATTAGGTACAGAAGCAGATTTAAAGGGTAGTTTACAAGCCACAGTTAACAGTTCCACAATTACTCATTTGAGTTCTTTCAGAACTCTTGGGTGAATGCCGTCTGGTCCCAGTGACTTGTTAATGTTAAGTTTATCAATGTGTTCTCAAACCCCTTCTAATGACACCTCAATCTGGGACAATTCCTCAGATTTGTCAACTAAAATGAATAGCTCAGGCTTGGGAATTTCCCCGATATCCTCAGATGTGAAGACCAAAGCAAAGAAATTCAATGAAAGAGTTTTGAATGAAAAATACTCTTATCCTGATAATTCTGATAAAAATCTTTAATGTGTTAATCAACATGTTAACAATGAACAATGTGTTTTCATTTATCAACATCCTTATTATAGCGCTGTAAGATCCAATGTCCAAAGGCAAACTCCTGCCTTCAACATGCGCACCTTATGGTAGCATATTCCAGAGGTTATGCATCCCCACTGAATGGCCACAAAAGTCTACATGGGGCACAAACCCCCTTATCTACCTGCCCCTCCAAGTTCAGTAGATAGCGCTGCAGTACAAAGCTGGCTTATAGAAGATGTCAACGCAGTAGCTGAACAGTGTTCTCCGAACTGGCCTAGGCCTCTTTGTTTACAGCTAAAATGGGAACAGGGATTTCAGAATAATATGAGCTGGCTTGAAATGTAAAAAATATGGACTCATCGCTTTACAGTGAGATTTCCAATGTCAGGGTGTGTCTAGACTACATCTCTCTGTCGACAGATGTAGATTAGGCATATCAAAATTGCTAATGAAGCAGATATTTAATTATCCCTTGTCTCATTAGCATAAACATGGCCGCTGCTTTTTCAAAATGGGGTTTTCGAAAAAACGGCAGTCTAGATGCAGATCTGTCGAAAATAAAGCCTTTTTTGACAGATCCTGTAAACCTCATTTTTTGAGGAATACAGGATCTGTTGAAAAAGGCTTTATTTTAGAAAGATCCGTGTCTAGACTGCCTTTTTTTAAAAAAACCTCCGTTTTGAAAAAAAGCAGCAGCCATATTTATGTTAATGAGGCACAGGATATTTAAATCCCTGCTTCATTAGCAATTTCAAGGTGCTTGATTTGCATCCCTCTGTCGACAGAGGGATGCAGTCTAGACGTAGCCTCAGAGTATATACTACTGTGCTCAAGTAGTTCTGAGTCTGAGAGGAATCCTTTGGATGTATATCCCCCAAGGGTCATATGACCCCAGCTGCAACCCTTTCTAGCCTACATCCTGGACACATACAGGTGTCTGGTGGAAAACACATGCAGCTTAGGGAGTTTGATCCTCAACTAGCCAGGCGTGTGGGGTGCACACAGCTTAAAAATGCCTGATCTCAGTTACATGGATACCTGTCTGGAGTAACTCCACTGACTTCCACAGCGGTATTACAGAGTCCCACTAAGGTAACAGATCAGAAACTGACCCTCGTAAATGCAGTTACTGAGGCCTAGATAGTGCTGACCTTTGCATGCAGCCATGAGGGGGCCGACATAGAGACTTCTATAAAAGGGCAACGTGTCTGTTTAAGGGCTAGTGGTCTAGGACCAACCAGCCTTAGTGACTCCCATGAAAAGTGACATGTTCAATCCCTCCCCCAGAATGGAGCAAGAATGAGAACAACAGATTCCTGAACAGCAGCTTTCCACAAAGGATCCACCCAATGGCAACTCAGCTGAGCTCAGGGGCTCTGAGGTTTGATTTCTTTCCGAGGATGGGTTAGATACAGTAAAGCTGTGGTTCAGTAACTCTTGATAAATTAACTGCACAGCCACTTCCCAGGTTCACAATACTCTGTACTTGTGCTGCACTTTCTTCTGCATTTACAGATGTCCTCAGATGACATAGCAAAAGCAGACATGGCATGTTATTATTACTCTCTTGTGTCCGTTCCTCTGCACAGGCAGAAGTACCATTTTTGTCTCCTTTATGGTCCTCCCAGTCTTCCCCTGAGAGCTGGAATCTAAACACCAAAGTAACTTTTTCACTCCCATGGTGCCTACATTTTCACTATCACTACAAGGTTCATTATATCCAATAATCTAAGGGCTGTCACTGCTGTTTTGTGTGAGATCCTCTTCTGAACTCAGACAAAAGGCAAAGTCTGTGGTAACATCTGAGTCAATGGTATAGAAAGTCTGACAAGTCTATCTCATGTCAGAGTCACACACAGAGATAGCTGAAAGTGTTCCTTTGAGATTGTTGTTTAGAAGGCTGATAAAGGGTTTATAAGGTGACTCAGAACTAATCTCGTTGTTATGGTCACAGTACGTATTATTGTGTGCAAGAGCAAGAGCAAAAGGCTGATAACTAGATGGATTAGGTACAGAGAGACAGGAAATTGCAACTGCTTTTTCTGGAACATTTTGACATGTTATTTGCTTGTGTAATTCTTTCTCTGGCAGGAAAAACGAAACTTTCTCGTGACCATAGAAAGAAAACCATGGAAAGTCTATGTCTCCTGAACAGGTGGTTTGACAAGCAGACTCAGTGCAGTCAGTTTGATGGCTGGTGTAACTGCTTGGATGGCCCAGAGGTCGATGGCCTTGTTTGCTGCAGGGAAGTACTTGACTCTCTGAAAACTCTGTTAAGGACAGTGAAGAGCTTGGGTTTTCCAAACACTGAGTCAGGCTACTGCTAAGCACAGCCTGAGACACAAGGCTGCTGAAGCTCTTATATTCTGGGCTACAAGACCCCGTGGACTGAGTCATGAGGCTGCTGAAGCTCTTATATGCTGTACTATTTATTCCGTCTTTGATGATCTCAGAGGAAGGAGCATTTGGTGATTTTTTAATCAACACGTCATGCTGAGTTTCAGAACCGCAAAGAAAATGGCTTTGATGCAACATATCTGGAAGATTCTTTTCCTCAGGAAAAGCAGTATCTGTATTAGAACTTTGATAACCAGATTCAAAAGATTCTTCCGATTGCACTGACTTTGTGCTAGCTGCCCCACACTTGTAGTCATCCTGAGAGGTTGTAGAGGAAAAGGAGCAAGTGTGTGAAGTATCACATGACTGTTGATCCTGGACTACATTTTCTTTTGGTGTCTGCAGTGAAGAATTTGCTGATTCAGAGTCCCCAATGGCTTTATGCTCTTCTATAAAATCTGGGAGTTCAGTGTCATGTGTATTGGTTCCACATTTTAGAATCCTAATAAACATATTTGCAAGTGCATCATTGTGTTGAGTGTGTTCTGTAAAGCTATTAGCACTGGTCTCCCAAGGCTGACACACGGGGATCTGAGCTGGGTCGTCCTCATGGCTCTCAATTTCAGGGTTTGCTGAATACTCACAAACTTCAAGAGAATCTTCAACCAAAATGATCTCTGGAATTAGAACAGCCTCATGCTCTTCTGGGAGCCACTTTCCACATTTATTCCGACAACTGCAGGGTTTCTCACCACTTTTTACATAATTTCCCCCCATCAAGCTTTGGTGTTCAGCATATTTTGCAAGACAGATTTTACAGCATCTGTTGAGGGGGTCAAAAGGAAGGCACAATTAATGCTAACTTGTTAGCAAAATATTTTATGCTGTAAACCAGAGAAATGTTTTTTATTTTTCCTACCGCTGGTTTTCCATATGAGTCTGTTTCCCGTCATGGAAAGGTGCCTTAATTTCATCAATGGACATCATTTTCCTCCAGACTGAAAACTAACAGAGGCATAAAACAGATTTAGGGTGTGGTTGAATTAAACTTGATATTACTCTGTTACAATCAGCATCAGAATATATTACTGTGACGTAGTGGGGGGTACCTTGCTGGTTGCTATGCTGGGGCTGTGGGTGATCCCCACTGGCTGCTGTCTGTAGCACAGCCCAGCAGGACAGGGGATGAGCCACTAGGCCAGGGTCTCTCAACCTGTCCGACCAGCTACCCCCCAGGGAGAAAAACAAAGGAAGGTGGAATGCCGCCCCTGGCTGGGGGCAGGGCTGGAAGAGAGCTTTAGTTTCTGTCTGGGAGCATGGAGGAGACAGCCTAGGGAAAGGGGCTGGAATTTAGGGGCCCAGTCTCCCCCATCTCAAGGGGGGCTGAGGCATCCTAGGCCTGCCCTGTAACCAGATTACATCTGTGCTGTATCCTGGAGAAGCAATAAACTCCCTCTGTTCTACTGGCTGGCGGAGTCTGTCCGTGCCATTACGGTGGTGCAGGAGACGGGAAAACCTGACGCGCCGTCACAATTACGTCTTCCATTTTTAAACAAATGTTAAATAAGCTTTTTATAAAATGTTAAAATCATATACCTGAGCCGCCTTGACATTCTTTACAACCAGATGGCTCTTCGCTGGATTTGGGATCCGATCCCACCATTCCTTCTTAACTCTGCAAAGCAAGAATCATTGCTTACTCTTAGCTGAGTTTGGCCCCAATTGCTCAGTTTCACTATCCCAGCCCCCTCTGCTCAAGCAGTCTGTGAGCTCCACAGGAAGTGCTTATTCTGTGTCTGTCTATACCATGGGTTCCCAAACTGGGCGGGGTGCCCTTCTGGAGGGGGCGTGAGGCGACCCAGCCACCCCCCATCAATCCCACCCCAAGTTTTGCTGCTATTTTTTTGGGAGAGGGAGCATGAGGGTTTCTCAAAAATCAAAAAGGGGGCGTGATGCTGAAAAGTTTGGGAACCACTGATATAAACAATACTTTACATCAACATTAGTGTAAAAGTTCATGCCTATATTTCTGTTTAACTGGCATGAGCATCATCGCATAGTCAGAATATTATTTGAGGTTGTGAGAAAAACAGGAAAATCTCTTAATGGTGACCCAACTTTAGCAAATTACTTCTCAAAAATAAAAAATTCTGCCATAAACTATACCCCGGTCTATTCATAGAATCATAGAACTCTAGAACTGGAAGAGACTTTGAGAGGTCATCGAGTCCAGTCCCCTGCCCTCATGGCAGGACCAAGCACCATCTAGACTAGAGCTACTCAACTTTGGAAGTCACAATGATACTCTGAGCACATATGGAGGGCCGCAACTTAAGTGTAGTTGCATATACATGCAAATATATATGCAAATATATGCAAAGAGCTTCTTTCACACTGACAGGCATGAATACAAAGATTAAGGCAAGACTACACAGCTCACAGGCCCCATTTAAGTCAGTTCTGCTGATATTAATAAAATGCAATATTTACCCAATTTCCACCCATATGACAGCACTTTTCATGAGCAATGACAGTCCAGGAATTTAACTACTAAAACTCATCTCAACAGAAGACCATTATATTGACTACTTTTTCGTTTTGATTCCCACCCGCAAGCTGCATGTTGAGCCCCATGTAAACCCAAGCCGCACCACGGACTGCAAACAAATGGGCCACAGGCTGCATGCAACCCATGGACCGCATGTTGAGTAGCCCTGATCTAGACCATCCCTGACAGATGTTTTCATGTTTGTCTAACCTGCTCTTAAATATCTCCAAGGATGAAGATTCCACAACCTCCCTAGTCAATTTATTCCAGTGTTTGACCACCCTGACAGGCAGGAAATTTTTCCTAATGTCCAACCTAAACCTCCCTTGCTGCAATTTAAGCCCATTGCTTCTTGTGCTATTATCAGAAGTCAAAAACAACAATATTTCTCCCTCCTCCTTGTAACACCCTTTTATATACTTGAAAACTGCTATCATGTCCCCTCTCAGACTTCTCATTAATTAAGCCTCAGAAGGTTCCAGTGAAGTCCTAGCACTATTATACAAATGGCTCAGTGGAGAAAAGTGCTGTGTAATCTAATCTCTTTATGTCCTTGGTTCAGAGGTCATGTGAAAATTAATTAATTCATGTTTGTAAAGAGGTTCCTTATAGATCTTCAGATAAAAGGTCCTTCATGATTACAAAGAATTCTACTATTATTAAAACTAGTGTTATGCTACTGATGCCATTACGCTATATGAAACCTAGCATTTGGCTATCTGCATCTCTGTAACTCTGGTGCAGTAGGATACATACGTGGCAAAACAGAAGTAACAAATTAAAATCAGAGCTGTGATCAGCATGCAGGATATGGAAACAATCTTCTGCAGACTATCTTCTAAAGTTACTTCATAATCTATATAGTCAGAAATAAAAGTACAGTCAATAAACATTGTCATATCAATGATCTTCTGTACTCCTTGAAATAATGCCACTTCAGTGGTTTAAAGCAAAGTCCATATATGTATTAAAATGTGCACAGGTATCTAGAGCAGCAGTGCACAACCCAAGGGGGTTGTGGCTGTCTTCCTGGGGGGTCGCAGCGCCAGGCCATCTGCTATTTTGTTTTCCTGGCTCGATGCCCAATGCACGTGTGGCGGGGGCAGAGGAAGTGGCAGGGGAGCGGACTGGAACTTTAAATTAAAGGGGATGCAACAAAAAAAATTTTCCCGGTCCTGGAGGGTTGCAAATTAAAAAAGGTTGAACACCACTGATCTAGAGCTATGGTATGTGAGGCATTCTAGAACACACCATCCATACAGGTTCAGACCAAAGGTCCAAATAACCCAGTATCCTGTCTTCTGACTGTGACCAATGCCAGGGAATGAACAGAACAGATACATCAGGGGGTCCATCCTCTGTTGTCCATCCCGAGCCATTCAGACCATGGTTTTCTGCCTGCCCATCCTGGTTAGTAGTCATTGTTGGAAGGAGCAGAGAGTTGCCCTATTGGTAATATGCTTTTTGATCACTTTGGAGCCTTTAGTGTTTGGTTTACACCAACTATAAGGCTGAGGACAATGATGATTGCATTAGTAGCCCTGGGACTCACTATCACTCTCTAATTGATACAGAAAGGCAGAAGAAACAGTAGAATGTATACCTTGTGCTTTAAAACCCTGTAAAATTCTTCTGCTGAATTGCAACAGTTACTGATACTTACTATTGTGGAATTCAGCTACATTGCTCCATTCACTCCAGAGACTGCGATACTCTGGATAGAGGCACCGTACACTTACAAGGTAGTCATACCCTCGCCTCAACTGCGTTGCAAGAATGTCAAAGCTTGTTGTTTGGTAGGAAAGCGGTTCTATAAACTTCTGAATAAGAGGAGAAGTAACACAACTTAGCCTCTGTATGGAATACATGTTTAGTTTCCTAGACAGTATTAAGTATGACATTCAGTTCCTGGGAATGCGGTTTACAGACTTCACTGCTGTGACCAATTAATTGATACCTGCTGATAAACCAAAAAGGCTCAGGATCTATTTGAAGAGAAATAAACTTCTTTGCTGCACAATGTCATGTCTTAGGGATGTAACACCCCATTTAACTAGTTAACCGTTCCAACGTTTTACTGGTTAACTGCTTAAACAGGGGCATGTGTGATATAGCAGGCTGGCAGGGCTGGAGTGGCCCCCTGCCCATGGCATGCTGGGCTGCTCTGGCCAGGCTGGAGCTATTCCCCATCCTCCAGCCCAGAAGAGTGTGCTGCTCCGTGGACTACCTGGGCCAGGCTGGACCCTCGGTGGGTTGGGGATGCTCGGGACACAGCGGACTACTGTGGCCAGGCCCGGCCCTCCCCACATCGAGCTGGGCAGGGGGCTGCTCCACTCCAGCCAGGCTACCACTCAACCATCCATATCCCTAATGTGGATTCTATGTATTTTTGGGACACAATGTTTTTAAAATCGGGAATGATTTAAACTGGGGGTTACAAACCTATTTTAATAGAGTCACGGAGGCTGGGTTTGGCTCTGGACCCCAGCAAGTGTGATGCTCAAGACCCACTGCCCAGGGCTAAGGTACATGCCTCCACTGAGGGCAGAAGCCCTTGGGCTTCAGCTTTGGCCTCTGTGCCCAGAGCAGTGGGGCCGGGGCTCAGGAAAGCTCATCCTTTGACCCCCCCTCCCGAGGTCAAGGTGCAAAGAACTTTGAGAACTGCAGCTCTACACAAAACACAGAACATGGCTGATTTATTCTGAGAAGCATCCTATGGCTTTTGAACTTCAGTGTGTTGAGTTTGTTATTAAAGACTAATTTAAGGCAGTATCAATCCAGTGGTGCTCAGGGCTCAAAGTGGGGCAGTGCACAATAGTACCGGGTACTGGCACCTCTCCAAACCTGCTATCCTATATTACAGAATCTTAGCTTTCATTTTAAAGGGGCTGGTCTGCATGGGACATCAGCACACAGCAAGCCAAGGGGTGAAGCTCATGTCACCAGTCTGTTGTGCACTAATGACTTGTGTGGCAACTGCGCACAAACAGTTCTATGGTATGCTTTGTCATACAGGAAGGGAAGCCATGCTTGAGGAGCACAGCAGAGCCTACAGGAAGATTCAAATCGCACCAATGGGACCCAAGCCCAATGGAGCCCTCAGGGCAAGAATAATCATAATCTGAATATCAGCACAATCTATTTGAGAGGCATCTCAATTCGGAGACTCAAATGGGGAGAAGTTATTCTGTAGGTGAAGGTCAAAAGAATACCACCCTTTATATCCCCCTTCTACTCCTGTTGATGTCACTGGAGCAACGTTACCCCTGCTCACAGTGCTTGCTGTCCCTTATGCATGAATGATGGTGGAATGTCACCCAGCAATGTCATAGAATCACAGAACACTAGAAAAGGAAGAGACCTTGGGGGTCATCAAGTCCAATCCCCTGCCCTCACAGCAGGGCCAAGCACCTTCTAAATCATCCCTGAGAGATGTCTATCCAGCCTGCTCTTAACTTTTTCCAGTGATGGAGATTCTACAACCTCATCACCATTATTAAGTACCTGACTGAAAACTCCTCAAGGTTTATAAAGGACTTTTTGCACCCAGGATACCAGTTAAAATGAGCAAAGAAAATCACAGTTCCCTACCTCTTCTGGATTCTGCTTGTTCCAGTATTTGACTTCATAGGTTACTTCCTCTCCATGGAGCTCGTCCCCTTTGCTGTAACTCTCAGTCCAACTCACAACGTAGATGTTATCATTTTCACTCTTATTCACGGTAAGATTTCTTGGGGGCTTTGGTTTAACTGTAAGAGGGAAACATTGACTCCAAGGAACAGACAGAAGAGGTCTATTCAGCTACAGATCATGCTGTATGTTACAGGGCAGCCACATGCTTTATGCATATTCATAAACCAATTTTCACAATTTGAAGTCCCCTTATGCAAAATTCATCATATAACTCAATGGTTCCCAAACTTTTTGAGCATATAGGCCCCTTTTCAATCTATTAAAATTTCATGGACTCCCTTTCCTGGGGGAGAAAAGAAAAAGAAAATAAATGTAAGGATCCAGCCCACTGCAGTGGGTCTGATCCTTATTTTTAACTTTCCATGGACCTTTTGCGGTACAGGGGTCCATGGACCATAGGCTGGGAACCACTGATATAATCAATTTTAAAGTTACAATATGCAGAATGTGTATATCTTATTTTTGTGCATGTATTATTCTTTATGTGAAGTTAGAAATATAAAGTGTGAATCTGGTTTTAATTCTGAATGTGCTACTCAGGGTCATTAGGGATACTTTGGGAACATAACTGTTCAGTACTCAAACCAATGACCTGGAATAGCTTTGTTTGTCCTATAAACCCAAACTGTGATTGGCCCCAGAAGGACATGTGACCCTGCCACCTGGCACTGGAATTAAATGTGGTACTTTTCTATGGGGAGGAAGGGTACTAAACAAAGGATTCCCACCCTCGGGGAAAGTCTGGTTGAGAAATGGAAAGCAATTAGATGTTTGGCTTCAGCTGGTCTTTGAAACTGCCTGGCCCGCCATAACAGGATACACATGAAGAAACCTGTCAACAAAGAACTCAGAAAAAAACTGTAGACCCACAACAGAGTAACTGTTTAGGATAAGAAATTGCATATAAGAAATTTCTCAGTGGATTAGAATTAGCTGGCATCTTTTGTTTATTTTAACTTAGTAACTCACTTTGATCTGTTTTCTCTTGCAGTCCCTTAAATCCTACTTTTGTACTTAATAAAATACTTTTGTTTACTATCAAGTCCAGTATAAATAATTATTATTGGGGGAAGCAACCATTGTGCATTTCTCTCTGTCATTGATAAAAGGGAATAGAGAGGTAGCCGTGTTAGTCCGATCTTGCTAAAACAAAAGGAAAAACTATGTAGTACTTTAAAGACTAATAAGATGGTTTCGCTTTCGCTCATCACCTATTAAACCATCTTTTTAGTCTTTAAAGTGCTACATAGTTTTCCTTTCATTTTAGTATTGATAAATGGAGATGATCTTATGAGCTTACTCAGTATAAAATTTATACATAAGATAAAGGTGAATTTATTTGGGGCTTTGGTCCTCTTTGTGGTCTGCATTCCTGGGTGCTGAGCCTTTATAGCTGAGCTCTCCCAGAGCTGACCTGGTTCAGAGTCTGCGTAGCTCTGCTGAGGGGTGGTAACCCCAACTCTGGCCTTGGCTGAGGGAAACCAGAGCTTCTGGCCAAGCAGGATACGGTGGCAGGGTGCCCCAGAATATAGGAAGGCAGACATCAATGGCTTGATCAGCACCCCAAAAGCATGTCTACGATCCAGCCCATCACACTGTAGTTACAGATATGGGCAGTGCATTCAGCCTTGTTTCCCTATGCTCTGGCACAGGGATGTAAAAGTCAAAACCAGAGAAGCTTTAAAATACTTCTCATGGAAATACAAAAGGAAAAAATATGTAGCACTTTAAAGATGAACAAGAGAGTTTATTAGGTGATGAGCTTTCGTGGGGCAGACCCATTTCTTCAGATCATATTCTGAAATTGGATTTTTGAGTCAACGGATTTAATTGTAGGTCTCAAATACTTATCTGTGACTTGCTCTCAACACGGAGAAAATGCAAAGGGTTCCTTTCTAGCTTGTGCACTGGAGATGGGGATGTTGCTGGTGGAATCTGCCTGGCCAACCTCTCCCTGGTGCCTGTGCTTTGGGGATGGGGTCCTAAAGCACAGGTTTATAGTCATCCTGTAGTGAGCACCAGTTACATCAAAGAAGAGCCTGGATCACTGCCACATGTTAATCACTACACAGGCTTCTCGAAATATTTCTCCTAGCACTTGAGCAATGTATCCATACAAGCTATTTTAATACCAGGAAAGTGTGGGCACATGTGTGTAACAGATATATCTAAGTTGACATGTCTCCTATGACATGAGAAACATTAACTATTTTACCAAAGGCTGTTGCAATCTACACAGAATGATTACTAAGAATTCTATTCAGCCCACCAAACACTCAGGGTGGTGGGTTGTGGACTAAGAATCTCAGCTATGGTCCTTTGTCCTTTTCTCAGAAATGGGCAATGACATCTCATTCTTCATGCCTGGCTTCTGTTGCCACATGAAGAACCCACTACAAGTGCATTTCTCTCAGAGGATAAGAAGGTGCTGACTGGGTGAGGTAGTTAGCTGGGGATGTGGAATTGGACAGATCAATGACAAAACTGTAACAAACTGCAGTATAGCTCACTATTATTTGCTGGCATTACAGTGTCATTCCATAGCACTGTCTTACTGTCCTGCAGCACTATATGATATGAGAGGCCTGCTGTGAAAAATTCAGGCAGAATTACACAAGTGCAGCTGGAAGTGAAGTTCATGCTCCTGCTTTTTTCATTCTCAGGGATGCATGTGTTATACCTGAAAGATACCAAAATGGATGTGATGTTTACATGGAATTAAGCACACTATTCAAAATTAAGCCCCATTCAGAGTCATCAGAGAAGGCTCCACAGCATGCAAACTGAATCTGAGATACATACACTTAGTTCCAGAAAGCATTCGGTGCAAAAGCTATCTGTGTGTCCCCCAGTGAAAAACTCAATTGAGAAAGCTGCAGCCTAGTCTGCAAAGTTCACACAGTGAGGATCCACTCCTCACCCCTTGCATGTCTCTGGGGAGAACCTATAATCAGCTGGTGCTCCTGCAACAAAAGCTTGCCCTTTTCAGCTGATATAGGTTCTCCCCAGAGACATGCAAATGGCATCACTTTGAACACGTTAGAAGACCCCTGTTCTTTGTCCAGACTTAAAGGCTTTTGGTCACCAATATGCTGTCTCTGATGCAGCCAGGTGATTAGGACCCCCAGCATTATGCCCAGGCCCACTCTGATTCTGCTGTGCTCCAGACCCCCCCATGGCCATGGAGGAGTAGGACTTTTAATAACGGCAGCATATTTAACATTTTAACAATGAACCCAGAATACAGCATTAAACACTTACAGTGCTGAGAACTCTTCTATCCTGTAATGAAGCTTGAATTCCTTGGAGCAGTTCATTTGTGCAGCCGCTTCCCAGTGACAAACGAGCTCCGTGTGATAGTCAGTGATGCACTCAAACATCTGTGGGTTCCCTGTTGCCATAACTAAGGACAAATCAAGACAACACTGAGCAGTGACAGCAACAGAAAATTAAATCAGCCAAAACAAGGTCTAGTGCTCAGAAGTGTAAAATTCTTCTTCGGAAATAGAACAATTACATCTCTGAAAGGGAGCGTGAAAGCGCAATCTTTGGACTTATTCAGTTTAAATGTGAAGAGTTTCCTCTAAGCTCAGCTCTCTCCAAGGTGCACCTTGAAATTCTATGGGACAAAGACCCATAAGAGCTCTCAGCACACCTATTCTTAGGCCATGGAATATTATCATTAGGAAATTAGTTTTTCACAAATTTTGTGTAAAGGGGATTACCACTTGATGAGAGAATAACAGAGTCATAGATATTAGCAACCAAAATGATTCGTCAGGCATTCTCCTAGGAATTAGATTAAGGTTCCTATGTACAGAACATTTTCTAGTGTTTTGTTCAATCATCAACCATCCTAAGTAGGCGGATTTCCCTCAGTCTCTCCGACAGTCTTCTCCATAGCCTAATCAACTTCCCTGTTAAGAAGTTTTCTTCTGATACTTTATCCTCTTGTTCCTAGTTATGCCTACTATTTCTTTGCGTATTTATTATTAATTTGTATTGCAGTAGGGCCCAAAGGCCCCAGTCAGGATCATGTTGTGCTAGATGTCGCACAAATACAGTGGGTATGTCTACACTGCAGTTTAACACCCAGAGCTAGATTTTACCACCTGACTTGGGCTCAGGCTAAGGGTCTGTTTAGTTGTGGTACAGATGTTCAGGTTTGGGTGGGGCTCTCCTCACTCACAGGATCTGAAAGCCCTGGGCTCTAGGGTGAGCTCAAACACCTACACCACAATTAAATAGACACTTAGCCTGAGCCACATGAACCTGAGTCAGTTGGAATGGGCCAGCCACACATATTTAATTGCAGAGTAAACATACCCAGCAAGACCTGGTCCCTATTCCAAAGAACTTACAATTTACTTGGGAACAAGAATCCATATGAGGGGGTACAGCAGAAGGAAACGGGGTGGAAGGGGATGTGTGACAATAAGGTCTCATAGCTATAAAAGCTAACAACACGCCCAGAAATTCTAAAACATGAGGAGATCTTAAAAAAAAAACCCAAATGTCAGTACATGCCACCCACTTTTCTCATCCTAGATAATTCCTCTCCCTCTTGGGTGCTTGACCCTTTGGGTATTTGTAGACTCCTGTCATATCCTCTCAGTCCTCTCTCATACAAGATATGCAGAACCAACTCTTCTAGTCCATTTCACATCAGTATCATCCACATCATTTTTTGTTGCTGCTGTCAGAACTCTGCCAAATTTGTCAACATCTTTCTTTATGGCAGTAAGTTTCCCAGGACAGAGCCTGATGGCAGTACTCCAGCTGATGTTACACAAGCATTGGATAGAGAGAGATCTCCTCTGCTCCAGTATGTGATGATTCTGTACACACAGCCCAAAATTCAGTTGGTTCTTTTCCTGTTGTCATACAACACTGCAAAGTGAAGATTAATTTGCTGGCAAGTCCCACCCCTTAAATTCTTTCAGCCACCAACGCTTCCCAGGCTCTTCTCTCCCATTCGGCGTCTGGGCTTGGATTACTTCGCCCACGTTATCTTGCATTTTCTCCCAGATGAGTTTCACTTGGTAACTTCTTGCCCATGTTTCTAATCTTCACGGGTTTGTTACAGGTATTTCCACCTACTGTCTATTAGGTATAATCTGAAAACGTTACGAAAATGCTGTTCGCTCCTTCAAGAGAATTAATGAAGATGGTAAATAAGACTGGCTCTAATACTGAGCCCTGTGGTACTTAATTAAAAACTTGAGCCAACCAAGTACTTTACTACTTATCACTAGCATTTGTTTATGGTCTTTCATCCTCATTAAAATCCATGCATCTGTTACTTTCACTTCCTCTTTTAAATGCCCAAGTCCTTCTAGTCTTAAATCACCAAGCACTCCTTATTCACTTGAGTAATCCCATTTGCTTTAGTAAGAACTGAAGTTCAAAGGAACCATTTCTCTCTCTTTCTCTCTCTCTCTCTCTCTCTCTCTCTCTATGTATATATATAAAAATTTCTGGGGGGACAACAGAGTGATGTCATCATGTCACTCTGCATCCACAGCAACCAGGACCCACCCAGTCCCAGCCTGGCCTGGCCCAGGGCCCACATCGAGAGCTGGGGTTGTCTGCGGCCCTGGCCCTCTCCTTCCGCTCCCCTCCCCTCCCCAGCGAGCTGTGGGAGAGCCATAGCTGTTGCGGCCTAAGCCCAGCCCTCCCCAGCAGTGGCAGGGGGAGGGAAGGAGGGAAGAGACTGGCCAGGAGCAGCCTTGGCTTCTCCCGCCAGTCAGGAGGGAGGGGAAGGGGCTGGTGGGGCCCCAAGAGTTGGGGCTGCCTTGGATCCTCCCCAGTGCACGGGGTGACGGACGGGGAGGGAGAAGAGCTGGGGCTGCCCTGGGTCCTCCCCGGCAGCTGAGGGGAATGGGGGAAGGGGGAGAACTGGGGCCTCTTAAAGGCAAATTTGAAAAGAGTTCAGTGAATCTGCCATTTTAAAATCAGCATTAATTTTGAATTGACTTACTTTCTGCCTTAAGAAGTAAAATGCTCTATTGTCCTAAGCTATTTTGACTAGCAGATTTAATTCACTTGGCCTTTTACTTCCCTTATCTTGTCCCTGAAACTTTTAACATGCTCTGTATTTCTTTTACTATCCCCCTTTTTCATCTCTAGCAGCTTTTTAAAATCTCAGATCTCTGAGAATTTCCTTTTGAGACCACATACAATACAGAGTTTACTTTCAATTTGTATAGTTAAAAAGGGGAACTGAGACACTGAACTTTTTTTTATCTTCAACAAGAAAAATAAAACAAAGAAGCTTAAAACAGCTTAACATTCATAAGGAAGGAACAAGCCTATAAAACCAACAGTAACAAAAAATGGATAAGAAAATTTTGGAGTCCGATTACTATACACCTAGGGGTTTCAGTCTTCGCCTATTTAATTTTAGTGCAAAATCCCACTGATAATCACTCAAATTAGAACTGGAACTATGAATAGTCAGGAAATTAGCTAATGCAAGTTTTGAAACACCAGCTGTTTGTTTTTGTAAACCATGGATAACTGAAGTGCTAACAAAAGACTGCATTAGAAGAAAAGGACTGTTTCTGAAAAGAGTAAAGGAGGGATACTGGCAATTGCAATCTTATAAATCTACCTTTTATACCCAAGGCGTACGTGTGCACAGCAATGTTATTTTGTCCATTATTCTGAAATAACTATGCAAGCATCTTCACAGCTAGCCTATTATTTTGAAATAATTTTGAAATAATGGGTGGCTTATTTTGGTATTTGTAAACCTCATTCCACGAGGAATAATGCCTCTTCCAAAATAGTTATTTTGGAATAGCAGTAGTGTGGATGCTCCACTGCTGCTATTTCAGAACATCTCCTTCCCAAAGCCATTCAAAGTAATTACTCCCCAGTGCTTCCTGGGGCTCTACATTGAGGTAGCATGTCCACATATGGGGAGCCTGCTTTGGACTAATTTCCAGGCTTCCCTGCAGTGTAGATGCTCTATTTTGAAATAAGTTATTTTTGAGTATTTCTTCCAGAATAGCTTATTCCGAAATAACTGCAGTGTTGACATAGCCAAGGAGACCTGTGGCACCTTAAAGACTAACAAATTTATTTGGGCATAAATTTTCACGGTCTGGAACCTATGCCAAAATAAATCTTAGTCTTTAATGTGCCAGAGAGAATGTAGACTACAGCAATGTGAGCTCTATCAACAAATTAGATATATTAGAAAGCCAGTTGCAATAACAGGAATAGAAAGACAGTCTTTCCAAACATCTGTTTCAGCTCTTTATTAATTCTTAAGTGTTTTTCTTTGCATATTGAAAATATTAATGGAAAAATAGACAAGAACGGAGACTATATTTTAACATATAAATGTGTTTGCAAATATTAATCTTACATATTATAATGGCTACTGAACTGTGGTAAAAATGTTGCTTACTAATTGTTCCTACTCACTTTAAAATGCTGTTGATAAATTACTGTTAAATGAATTAAGTTAAAGCATTAGTAAACTTACTGTGATATGTAGCACATGAAAAGAAAAGGGTCCATAAGGCAAGCAATGCAACCTTTAGGCTGGCAGCCATCATTAGCACAGGTTAGTTTCTATGGGAAAAGCTGTGCCGAGATCCTGCCAATATAGAAAAGCTTAGATTAGTGTGTAAACTGGTCAAAGGACACAGATCTTTTTATCCTTCATCCTGCATATTGCCCCCAGTGGCAGATGCTAGTGCAGGGGTAGCCAACCTGTGGCTCTTGAACCACATGCGTCTCTTTGCTCACAGAAATGCAGCTCTCAGGGTTATGGCTCGTTCGGAGCCGCATGCCCACTTTGTGCACATGCCCCAGTTCCTGGAGGGAGAAGTGTGTGGCTGTGTTGGTGGCAGCTCCGGTAAGATGTAGGCATTGGGTTAGAATGAGAGAGACTTGGGGGTGCCTGGCTCTGGAGGAGGGGGTGGGCATTGTGTTGGGAGAGGGATCTGGGGGCGCCTGGCTCTGGGTGAGGGATGTGTGGTTCTTTGCACTACTATCCACAACTCTTTTGGCTCTTCATGTCTAACTGGTTGGCCACCTCTGTGCTAGCGTATCCAGTGTATTCTGAATCTCCTTAAGCTTTGACCAGTAAAGGAAACAAATTAAGACCAATATGTATACTACAAATGAGTTGAAGGAGTTCTTTGCAAAAGTCTTCAACATTGGAGAGATACCTACAACAGACCTATTCTTTTCAGTACTAAGGATGAGGAACTGCCAGAAACTGAGATGCCAAAAGAGGATATATGGGAACAAACTGAAACATTTAAGAGCAACAAGTCACCAGGGTGGTTCAACTCAGACTCCTGAAGGAGTTTAAGAAAAACTGAAGCAGCTGACCTGCTAAAACCTGCAATTCCTCACTAAAATTGGCTACGCTCACAGCAAACTAAAGACTAGCAAATATAATACCAACCTTTAAAAAAGGCTCTAGAGAGATGCTGGGAATTACATACCACTGACCCTTACATACGTACCAGGCAAACTCTAACAGTCATTTAGAGTTATAAAACACTTCTATGATGTCCTAAGACAGGGACAAATCAGTACAGCTTTTGAAAAAGAAAATGGTGCCTCTAAGGCACCAGGATTCTGTGGGCATGTCAAGTACATAGTAGGAAAAACTGAAACAAATGATAATTTATTTGGACTTTCAAAAATCCTTTGACAAAGTCCCTTAAAATATTTAAAGAAACTATTTAAAGAAACTGTGATGGTGTATTTCATATTCTTTATGGAAATATGCGTGGGGATATGAATATGCCTAACTCAAATATGCTGTATGCAAAATATTTCCTGTAACATATCATTGGAAAGCTAGTAATCCTCAGAATGTACATAGTCTATTTGTATGCATGTACCACTTCCGTATCTGAAAGTAGGAATACTGAGTGTATTTTTATCATCAATGTGTTCATGTTGGGAAAAGCCTATTTCCAGGCCATCAGGAACAACAATGAAGAAGCCAGACACAGAGCTAATAGCCCATTAGTGAGAGTCAAATGGAGAAGTGTTTTCCTGCAGATGTGCTACAAAGACACGAGTCCTTGTCACCTGATTTTGGAATCCATATTGAATTTTGTACTTTTGCACAAGAGGTGGTAGGGAATTGAACAATGGCTTCCTGCCCTAGAGAAATTCTGTATGATACATGAGAAATAAACAATGATGATCTCCAGCTGGCTCTACAGACAGACTCCTCACACCAAGGCATGCATGGGAACACCTGGAAACCACAGTGTTGGAGAACTGCTGGCCCTGTCTGAAAGGACACCTGAAGTCTGAGAAGGACTTTACTTGCAATAAGAACTAGGGTAAGAAATTAGGATTTGTAACAAGTTCTCTTAGGGTACATCTACACAGCAGGGCTAAATCTGAAATGAGCTACACCAATTGCGTAGCTTAAGTCGAAACAGCTTATTTCAGCTTTTGGCGCTGTCTGCAGAGCAGGAAGTCCGAGTAACAGCACTATTCCTCCAACTTCCTTTTATCCTCGTAAAATGAGGGTTACAGGAGTCAGAGTAAGAAGTCTCTGAACCCATCACAGCCACATAGTGAAACATACTGTTTTGGAAATTACACAGTAATCTCCACTAGAAAATTACACAGTGAGAACACAGCTTTGAGGATTTATGTTAACTAATACACTGTTGAACATGACTGCAAGCAGCATAGGCAGATACAAGACTTGTTCAGCATTATGTCAGCTGAACACCAGTGAAAGCCCCTTTCTCTGCTGAGAACTAGAAGGTTGATTCGGCATTGCATTTCCTATGTTCTTATATTTTTTTTCCCTGTGTGAGGCAGTTCCTCTGTTGACAATCACAAAGCCCATTGCTGAGAAAAGTGTCCCTTTTTCTCTCTGTGATGTGCTAGTGCAAAGAGGGGTTTTTAAATATTTCCTATGGTGGGAGAGATTTTTCTGTGCAGGATTACTTTGACATTAAAGTAGAGGAGACCTGAGAGCAATATTTGCAGTTGACAGGTTAGTACCCTCTCTGTACCTTCGCTGGGTGTGAATTTCATCAACAGCATAAAACAAGAACTGGCTACAAGCGCCACAAGTCTGCAGTGGCAGAAATTGGAAATACTATGGCCTTTCATTTTTGGAAGTGTCAATGTATGTGCAATTATACAGGCTGTGGTCCAATAATGCCTGCAGCCATGTTCCTCCAAGGCTTGCCTTTTATCAAGAGTTGCAAGCCGAGTTGCTCATACACTGGTTGTAAATTATGGGAATACAAAAGACAGTGTCTTGGGTTTTGTGTGTGTAGATATCAACACATATACAAAACCCTAGTGATAGTGAAATGAAGTGAAAGGAGCTGAATTGCTTCACTACATTTCAAAGGACTTCTGTAATGAAGCTACATTCCACTGTAAGGCAGATTCCATTGTGCTATTCCCTTATCCCAAGCTGTTTTAGTTGTTGAGCTATTCAAAATTTTAAAAAAAAATGTGTATTGTTTTCCTTTCCCTTAAATGAAAAATAAAAAATGTTTTAATCTTAAAGGTTACGACTTCAGCAAGTTATGAGTGATTGAGAAGGAGTTAGGATGGAAACTCTTAAGCAACCTTAACTAAGCAGTCACTGCTGATCCCACTATAAAGTGCAAAGCATTTCTATTTATCTCACACACTTCCTGAGAACAGAGTTATCAGCATTCGGGAACAAACAAAAAATCACTGACCAAAGAGTAACAAATATTTACAAAAGGACATAGCTGCCTTTGGATTTGAACAAAATTTTCTGCATCTGAAAAATAAGAACAAACTCTCCAAAGATACAAAAATAAGTCCTTCATTGTCTGGATTTCTCAAGAGGGGAAATGGTTGATTTCCAGTCAACTGATGAGTAATAGTGTCTCATGACTAGTGTTCCAAGAAACCCTTACAAGATTTGGCACAGAATTCCACATCACATAAGTGTATATACAAATCAAGGGAGCTCAATGTAAAAACATCTCCCTCTTCCCTAAATGTATACATATACATATATTGGGGGGAGGGAGGGAGAGGAGGATGTATGTATTATTCAAAACAGCAAAAATTATATTTTCTTTCCAATAAAAGCAGTAGATTATTAAATGATACACCCAGGAACTAGGAAGATTGTTGAAATATCAAAAGTTATCCTACATGTATCCTGTAAAGTTTTTCGTAACAACAAATACAATACAATTAATACTTAAAGTTCAAATCTTCAAAATGTCCTTACTTCAAAACACCCTGATAAACACAAATATTATAATTCTCATTTTATATTTGACAGAAATAAGACACACAGAGGTAAGAGGACTTGTCAAAGACCAATGAGAAAATCAGTTTCAGAGACAGGAGTAGAACTTGGAATTTCCTGGGCCCAAGTTGTATGTTTAGACCATAAAGTACTCCCTTCGACTCTTCCTTATTTTCATCATCCCATTAATCCCACTTGTGTTAGTTTTTCTACTTGCACAAGGTTAGATGCGGAATCAAGGCCTTAGATTGTAGGGTCACAAGGCAATGACCATGTTTTATTTTATACTAGAAGAAATACCTGGCGTCGCCCAGGGAAAATATAGTAAAAGGTGTGATGAATGAACTACGTCAATGACATTAACATAGCATATTTTATTGGAAATACATTTCCCTTATATATTAATTTAAGAAATTAACGTAACTAGTACTTTTTCGGTTATCATAGGGAAAGGATCTTGTAGTTGCAATTTATGAGACATGCTTAACAGATGAGTCCAGCAAATGCCTATGATCAGGCACTACTAAAAGTTAATTAGTAGCCCAATTGAGGCTCTGGAGGCCCAACTGGGACTCTGGGGGGAACCGATTTCAAGATATAACCAATCCAGTGATTTACGTTAGGAAATCAGTAGTATCTGTGCAAAATTTGGTGTTTCTAGCTCTTACCGTTTCGGAGATCTTTCGAGACAAACACATTTTCAGAAATATTTATAAGATGATCTGTTGTGCACATCCATGATGATCTATAAATAAAAACAGTTCCCTTCTCATTTTAAGTTTGGCCACTGCATAAGGAAGGCCTTTCACTTCAGAATGAGAAACCACCTTATTTGTATATGCTTTTGTAAATGAACCATTCCTTCTGGCTTCATCGGTGCCACTCTCCTTGTCTAGCTAGCAGCACTTTGGCTGTTTACTGCACATGCTATTTTACATGATCTACCTGCCAGCATCAAAGTGCTTAATTACATAAAATGAAGCGTTGTCCCCCACAGATGACAAGACTCATCGAGACAAAGCTCTCCAATAAACAGGGGAAAAAACTTTTAATCAGAAGAGGACAGTTTCTTTTCAGTAAAACCTAAACAGGTCATTGTTGCTGTTTTATTTAAGATATAATCACATTTGTTCATTCCAAGAGGACTGTTCACCAAAGGGAAGAGGAAAAGGCAAAGGTCATGTTACGTCATTTGGCCCTATGACCCACTCACTAGCCTTGTCTGCAAGTACCAAGGTATTTTTTCAGATGACCTAGGTCTAGAAGAAATTGAAAGTGTTTCACATTTGTCTTTACTTTTCACCAGTTCCATTATTTGCTTTTATTTTTTTTTTACCAACTATACAATTTATAAAATA